TATACAACCACACACACACATACATACACACCTACACACACATATAGATATATATATATATATATATATATATATGGAAAAAGTTTATAAAAGGTTGCAACCTTAAAATATAGAATTACATATGCACCTCAAAAATCCATCAGAGAATATTGTTTTAATATTGAAAATGGGAAAAGTTTATAAAAGGTTGCAACCTTAAAATGTAGAATTATATATGCACCTCAAAAATCCATCAAAGAATATTGTTTTAATATTGAAAAACCATCTAATTGATCATCTCGACATCAAGATGTATGAATATGAAAATAAATAAGATTTTGAATCCCAAAAATAGTGCATCTTGCAACACATTATCTAAACCGTCAATTTTTAAAATTTTCATATATTTATGGATCTACTTGATTTTAACCATTTTTAGATTTTTTTTAATTTTATAATTAGATATGAAAAGAGATTTTCAGATAATCCTAAGAATTTTTTACACGAAAATTACATGTTGTAATAAAATTTGGAGGTGTGCTTTAATTGGATTGTTTAAAGTTTATATATATATATATATATATAGGAAGATACTACAAAATGTATATAGGCGAAAATGAACAGTGATTTCGCCAACCCTCATCAGCGTCCAAAGTTCATAATATGATCACGATTGTCCAGTAGTATTTTTTTCTTTTTACAAATCGAAATGATCTAAAATTTGGATTGTGTGTTCATAAAAAATAGGTGAATCTACGAAAAATATATAAAAAAAATATTTTACATGGAATAAATTGACCAAAATACCCTCGAAAAGTTTCAGGGGTATTTTGATCAATTATGTTTTTGCTAATTATTTTTATATATATTTTTATTAGGTGCCTCACTAAGATGTACACACACTCCAAATTTCAGATCATTCCAATTTGTAGAAAAAAAATGAAAATTGAAACACTACCGGACAATTGTGACCATGTAGTGGAAAAGTCTTCCCAATGTCCATGGGGGAAAATGAACAAAGATTTCGCCTACCCTCATCACTGTCTAAAGTTCATCGTAAGGTCACGATTGTTCGGTAGTGTTTCATTTTTCATTTTTTTTTTCTACATATCCAAATTGCTTGAAATTTGGAACGTGTGTACATCTTAGTGAGTCGTACCTAAAAAAAATATGAAAAAAATAATTCACAAAATATAAATTGACCAAAGTACCTCATAAATTTTGGAGTGTTTTTGTCAATTTATATTTCGTGAATTAATTTTTTCATTTTTTTTTTTAGGTGCGCCTTACTAAAATGTACACATGCTCCAAATTTCAGATCATTCCAATTAGT